TTTTCCTCTAAATCGGATGAGTAAATTTTTACCAAATTTTGCGCTTTTAGTTCAATCTCAGATTCTGACAAATTTTTGTGAACAAGAAAACCGAAATTATCGTGCAAATCACTGTAAGCTTTCCGCCTTTTAGTCATTTCTGAAATTAATACATCTAAAATGGCGTAACACGTTTCCATACGAAGAGAATTTTAGCATATATTTTGAAAAGAGGGGAGGGCCCATAAACGGCTGTGCCTAGGGCCTACGAAAGGTATAATCCGGCTCTGACACCAATGCCTGATAAGAATCCCCATGGTATAAGACATGCTGACCAACATTTCATTGAATGTTTAGGCTGGTGTGGTCGCAGATATCTTTGTCGGGACCCTACTTATTGGCATCACCTCTTAACATCTGCCAATTAGAGCAAACCAGTCAGCCAAAATATGTTTCAATACTGTTGCTTGGAAAATGGGATTGAAAGTGCGTGGGAAGAAAAAAATTATTGCTAAACAAAATTGTTTATGTTCACTAATAGATTCATCAGAGAAATGTTTGGACATGAGAAGTAGGGGCACAAGCAAACTCTTTTAAGGGAATAATTTAAACCTTGGTAGAAAAAAACTATTTTATGCCAAGAAGCAATTATCAGGTTAGAGAGGAGAATTGAACAGGGGCCTTAGGAACAGTTTTTTCAACTTTTTGAATAAATTTTATTTCATTAAGTTTGTAAGAATTTTTAAAAATACAAACTTAAACATTACAATGCTGTAACAAAGTTTAGTAGAATAATTTCACTGAATAAAATGAAGCAAAAATATTAATTACTGAATAAAAAAGGGGAACTTAAAGACACAAGTTTCTTTGTAAGATAGGGAATGATAATGGGTTATATTAAGAAATGTAAACTTAAATTTTAAATGATTTTTAATACAATTTTAAAATACATAAAATTTGGTAAAAATATAAATACAAGTTTGTAAAAAAAGGGAGATAAACAAATAAAATTTCAATCTTCGTAAATGCATAACTACACACTATGGGCTGCTAGTGTTATATTCCAGATATAATTTTTTCCAGGTTCAACCAAAGCAACTGCTCTTTGAATTTCATCACTAAAAAATAAAAATTACATACAATAAATAGACACTAAAAATTTGTCTCAATTTTAAATTGAAAAAAAAAAAATATTTAAAATAAACTTTTTCTGCAAAATGATGTATATGCACAGTATTAATTTGCCAATTAATTAAATTGCTTTTGAAGTATTTTAATGATACGCATAATGTGGCTACAAACAGGTTGAGCACTATATGTATTTGTAAGGAAATCCTCGTCAAGCCTTTGTTTAGAAGAGCTTGTATTGTTGTATAGCAATGTGAAGTGCACTACTAACAAATTAAAATCAATAAAAATATAATCGGCATAAAATAAAAAAGAAGTTTTAAATTTTAAGTCACCAATGACTGATGTGGCCTAGACGGAAAGTTCAATGTCAGTTCCTGATGAGTGAGTTAAATAATGAATGGAATTTTTCTTTAAAAAAAATTATTGTGGGTAGTTTAGTTAAGATCGCTTACCAAAAGTAATTAAAGTTAAATTTTTGATTTTTATTTTCATGATGCTTTTTGTATTTCATGGTGTTTTATTATCAAAATCCTATTTTTACTAATTCAATTATTTTTAAAAAAAATTTATTTGAAATATCCTAGAGTAAACTTTGCAAAATTTAATGAACAATTAAAATCTGAAAATTAGGAAACAAGTATATTTTGATGAATAAAATGAAACAAAATCCAAAATATTAATTATTTACTTAATAAGTAGGGAATTGGTATTCACATTGGACATAAGTTAAAATGGGGTAAGTAAAATCTGAATGTCGACGTCAGACACAGTTAAGAGTGGATGTAAAAGCCCTCCAGCATGGCAGCACATTATTTTTACCTCTTTATTAAAAACAAAATGGAGAAAAAATAGTTCGAAAGAAAAAACTAGCAAAAATTAAATGAAAAAGATAAGATTATTCAATCTACCTTCATAAAATGTTAGGAATAATTTTCCCCTTTTTAAATTTGAACCAAAAACATACCTTAGATAGTAAAAATAATTTCAAAAATAATAAAAGATCAGAAGATTAAAAAAAAAAAATTGTTTATATAGTAATAGTTTAAAGCAACTCCACTATTCAGGAATGCTGTATTAGCAGACCTTAAAAGCATATAGCTCATTTAAAACAAATTCGAGCAGTCTTAATAATTTTCATGAAAGTAAGTTTTGCAGTTGTTTAAAACTTACACCAATTTTAAAATATTTTAGAGAACTTATAAAAATTATATAAGTGTAACATTATATAAGTGTTAATAAGTGAAAAATTATATGATAAACTTATTTCAACAGAAATTATTAGAACTGCTTAATTTTGTAAGTGGATTATACCAGAATAATAATGAGGTTTGCAAATACAACATTCGTAAATGGTGAAATCTACGAATTTAAAATGAGATACTGACTGATAAAATAATGAAATGCACATACGTTAAATCATCAAAATATCGATGCTTGACTTGAGGCACAATTATTATATTTGGGTAGGAGCTAAGATCGACAAGACAGGTAACAATACACTTTGACCTCCGCCTCTCATTTTCAACATCTATATGAATC